CGCCTCATTTATAAATCTATAAATTAAATTTGACCACAGGTATACACGAATAGGAATATGCAGGAAACCCAGAGCTCAGCACCATCCACGGACTCAGGCCTGCCTGAGGGTCCTGGAACGTATCCCCCATGGGTAAGAGGAGAGGTGACGGCACCTTCTCTTCTGATTAAATGCATCTGCCACCAAACAGCGGGGTGCCTTCGGATACAATGGAATTATCAGAAATTCTAATAGAAAATTAGAAAAAGGTTTTGAAACCTGGTGGGTTAAAACATATCTAAAGTTTTCTTAGGCTTTGAAGCAACTGGGGGGAAAATTTGTTTAGAATTTAATGCCCTTCAAATGCATATGAGAAATGTTAATATAGTGGAGCTATTTGTAAAAACATAAATACAGAACATTTAAACAACTAATCAGGTTAAAAGGCAATTTTTAAAAAGGTTAAAATCATGCCTTTCATACTAATACAATCATGAACACATCTTTATGGTCTTAATTCAGCTCATCGGTGAAGAAATGGGCAAGATGCTACGGGAACTCCAAGGAGGATGAAGCCAGAGAACGAGGCTGGAGACCAGAAGGGACAGAGGCCAGGAAGGCTGGAGGCTGGGAAGGCCTGACGAAACGTGTGAGCAGGAGAAGTACGCCTGTCCCACAGTGGCAGGAAGGCCAGAGATCTCGATGGATGGAACTTACATGTGGATGGACAAGAATGATGCCACACTAAGAAAGATGCTGCACTATTCTCAGCTATCCGCAACTCAGTTACAGAACAGCTCCCTCGAGTCAGTTAGCCCCGCTATGCTATGGGTGCCATGCTATGGACGTCGATGCATGTTTTTCTATGAAGCCCATGTCTCTCTGCAGGACTGCTGATGGTCTCACACACATTCCCACAGCCAGCACATGAGGCACAGCCGTACACATGTGCTGGGTAGAGGGATGGAGGGACGAATGTCCACTCTGTATCGGGTGTGACACGCCATCCCAGGTCATCCTCCCAACAATGCTTCCAGGGAAGGATGAATAACCTTCTCAGGTGACTGACAGGAGACTGAGGTATGTGATGTTACATCGCTCCTCCATGTTAGAAGCTGGGGGGAGAGTGGGGAGGATCTGACTCAGACCCATGATCACAAAGCCCACGTCCCCTTTCACCTTCTTGTTTCAGTGAATATATGCTCTTTTCTCTTTCCCATTGAGGTCCCCCCATCAAGAGTGTTTCCAAGGGCACGGGCGCCATGTGTCTGCCCAGCAGGAATGGAGGCCCTTCTATAAGGAAAGCAGAACTGCAGCCCAGGAGAACTTGGCGTACACAGCTGGCCCTGAGTGTCCCTGGGCATCCTTGCAAGTAAGCTGGGTGTTGACCAGCCTGGGCCACTTGGCTCCCCGTGGTGTTCCTTCCCATGCTGAATGACAAAGCCAGGCTAGGTCAACCCTCGTGCATGGAGTTTTACCATTAGGGAAGCAGCAGCTCAGGGTCATCATGTGCTCTCTGCAGTCAGGAACTATCCTCAGGCTGTGCTAGGATAGGTGCTGGCTTCATCTCCTCTCCACAGTCACCCAGTCCACTGCAGTTCTGGGTGGTGACCTGTGCCTGCAAGCACCCACCATCCTGCATCATGCCAATGCTACCTGCCTGGGGTTTGCTCTGTCTCAACGTCATGATATGTACAGGCCTCTCTGCCATGCTGCTTGCAGCCCATGAGGGTTTTGGGATTCCCACAGCTGTCAGCATCCCAGAACTGGTAGCCACAGGCTGGCAAACTTCCCGGAAGTGAGTTTCTAGCCACTTGGCACCTGTGGTCATTTGGGCACTTTATGTTCATCCTGGGAGAGGCCAGTTGGAGAACAGCGAGACAAAGGGGTCTTCAGAGGCTTCAGACAGGCAACTGTCAAAGATGTGGACAAATGTTAACCTGAAATCATCCTTTCTGTCCTCAAGTCCCCAAATAATGCCCTGCTTTCTTTTCTTACCAGGCTGCCCTGAGAGTGAAGTAGCTACATGTTTTCAACATCTCCCGGTGAGTCTTGACATGAATGACAGCACAAGGACACATGCAGAAGTGCCGATACATGGTGAGCTCAGTGGCTCGCCCAGGCTATCTCACTGGGTCCTCACAATGATGCACACAGAGGCACCAACACACAGTGAGCTCAGTGGTATCTTACTGGGTGCCCAGGGTATCTTACTGGGTCCTCATGATGCCACACGCAGAGGTGTCAATGCATAGTGAACCCAGTGGTGTCCTCAGCTATCTCACTGGGTACTCACAATGCCACATGCAGAGGCACTGATACACGGTGAGCTTGGTGGTGTCCTAGCTATCTCTGGGTCCTCGTGATGCCATGCACAGAGGTGCTGACACATGGTGAGATCAGTGGCATCCTAGGCTATATCACTGGGTCCTCGTGATGCCATGCATAGAGGTGCTGATACATGGTGAGGTCAGTGGTGTCCTAGGCTATCTCACTGGGTCCTCGTGATGCCATGCATAGAGATGGATGCTGATACATGGTGAGGTCAGTGGTATCCTAGGCTATCTCACTGGGTCCTTACGATGTCACACACAGAGGAGCTGACACACAGTGAGCTCAGTGGTGTCCTAGGCTAATTCAGAGTCCTCATTATGCCACATGCAGAGATGCTGACATGTGGTGAGCACAGTGGTATCTGAGGTTATTTCACTGTGTCGTCACAACACTAAACACTAAGGTGCCAACACACAGTAAACTTGGTGGTATGTGAGGCTATCTCACTGGGTCCTCACGATGCCACATACAGAGGCACTGACACACTGTAAGCTCGGTGGTGTCCTAGGTTATTCACCGGGTCTTCACAACACCACACACTGAGGTGCCGACACACAGTGAGCTTTTTGGTGTGCCCAGGATACCTCACTGGATCCTCACAGTGTCTCTCTGACAGGTGCTAGTGTTGGCTTTGCTTTGGAGATGAGGAGGGGAGGATGAATAACTTGCCTAGATTAAGGAGCTGCCCAAGGTCCCAATGAAGCTGCAACTTGCCAACACCAGGGTGTTTCATAAAGACCAGGGGTATCACCCAAAGTATATGACAACTGTGGAACACGGACCTCAGTCAAACACTATCCTACCATTTATCCATGAGCACTGAAGCACAGATACTTACTTCTGTGGAGTGTGAGCCTCATACTCTCCAAACCATTATAAGTGCTTATCCTTCCCCCAAGGGGATCTCCTAACTCTTACCCTAATAAAAGATAACATGCCTTCAAATGGGATCATGAAAGAGGCTCTACAGGCATTAAGGGACATTATGCAGCCATTACTGAAGATGGAGACCACACCAGGCAAATGGTACTAAGAAACAGATGACTTCCAGGATGGCATAACTGACACTTATGGGCTCTTACATGCTTAAGGGAGGGACAAAGCAATGGGATCTGGACCTGTGGAACCTCAGCTGAGTGGCCCACACTGCCTTCAGGATTTCAGGAATTTCATCAGACGGGACCATTCGCTTTACTGGGGGGGGGGGCAGCGAATGTGTACAGGGCCACTTTTGCTTAAGTTAGGAGGTTTCCACCCTCTCATCATCAAGTTAGCCTGAGTCCCGTTGGGTTTGTCCTTCTATATTTAGACATTATATCAGCATGGTCAACAGGACTCTGTGATAGTTCAGCTCAGCAATTTTTAGACATTTAGAGCTAGAACCCCTTTTAAACCCATCTAGTTTTCTGTATGATTCAAATGTATAAAACACACACAGGGAGCTGCTTTGGTTGACACACCCATGCTACCCAAAGCACACATGTGTCCCTTTGGCATTCAAGGCCTTCATGGAACACATTTTGAAAACCATCAACTAGTTTCTGCTCTCAGGAGGTGAAGTGACCCTTCTCAGACCTCACAGCTACAGGGAAAGAACTGAGCTACAGAAAGAAGCACTTTCTGCTTCATGACTCCCTTTCAAAGTAACAGGAATGACCAGAAGCACCAGAGAGGTTAGGCTGTTTTGGATAGAAATACTGGGCTTGGAAAGAGGTTTGGCATCTAGTGTTGAGCAAGTCACTTTCCCACCAGGCAAGTCACCTTTCTACCAGGGTGTCAGCATTCTCCCAGAAAGAAGGAAGGCCCTGGACCCTACTCAGAACTTGACATGATCTCCCCTGGAGTCACATGGCTTGGTGCAGAGTGTCCACAGTCTTGCCTCACTGCTTGGTCTGTTGAATCTGAGGGTGAGGCAGGAAATAGAAGAGACCCATGACTATGTTGAGCTGCCGGGTGGGTGTCTTTGGACCACATAGCCACTCACCCTCCAGCTGACAGACGCACTCTGAAGGGCCCTGACAGTCCAGGACAGCTGGAGTTTCTGTGTCCAGGTACCTCCTGACCTCCACATGTAATGCTCACATACCCTTAACCTAGTGCAGTCTTAATTTGTGCCTTGAAAGTATCAACTCCAGGGTTGTGAGTATTACTACACTTCACTTCAGAGACTTAGGACATCTTGAGCAGACACAGAATGTTGCCATGGGGCACCAGGGGACAGAGGACAGGCACAGCGGGGAGGGTGGCTTTCCACCAGGGGCTCTTGGTCACTGGATACAACAACCAAGTCAAGAGAGTCAATACACTTATATCCAAAGCGGCAAAAAGTAATCTCCTTGTCTAGAAGCCTTTGCTACTTGGAAGATCTACGTGGTGACCCTGAAGCCAAGTTAATCTGAAAGACTCCCTTTCCCTTTTCTCCAGGATGAAGATGCTCTTGCTTCCTCTAGGATCCCCCAATCCCACACCCTATTCCCACACTTTTATCCTGGATGCACAAAATCCCATTTTCTCTAATAACCACATGGGATATCAAGTAGCTCGGCTCCCAGGGATCTGGAATTGATCACCCCTTTTAAAGTAAACCCAAGCCAAGAGATGATGGTAAGGAGCTGCTTCATGGGGAGAATGGAGGGCTGTAGGGATGGGAGGGGAGGAGTGGATATCTTGGACATTGTACACTTTACCAGTTATGTCGTGCTGCTTGAATGACTCGCTGTAGATCTGATACTGACTTGGACAGTGTTTCTTCAACCACTTGCAGACATCCTGCTGGGTCCACAGAGCCACCGGCTTAGACAGCTTCACCGCAGCTGACTATAAACAGAGAAGGAAAGGAGATCTGTCAGTGGCGGGCCAAACCTCGGAGGGTGCGACTGAGAAAGTCTGAGTACAGTGGAGGCCCCAGCTAAGTTCCTGCTAGAAGTGTTTGGTTCCTGCCCTTCCCTAGTCTCTGCATACCTTCTCAGTTCTGCTAAAAGCCTCGGAGAAGGAGTCCAGGTGGAGAAGTGTGAGGATGGTCCCAAGCTACCCTCTCCTGGGGAAGGTCCTGAGGAGGCCCTGGGCAGTGGAGGGAGTTTCCTCTAAATACTCCAGCAACAAGACAGTGGTGCTGCTAAGCCATTAATTAAGTTTTAGGGGTGAAAGAGCTGCTCCCGAGAGCCTTTCTCTGTATTCCAAGGAGGTGCCTGTCTCTTTCTGACTTTGACATCTCCAAGGCCCAGCACAACACGGGTCCCAGCAGGTTTTGGTACTATTTCAGGAATGAATGTTACAGGGTTTAGATACCTGTACATTGTGATGGGCAAGTCTGCCTGGGGACCTGGACTTGGGTGCCTTGTGAAGTCTAGAACACCAACAATACTGCAAAGGAAAGCAAAAGTCAGTCCCACCTACAGGCAGGGATAGTGATTAGGTCACAAGACAGCAAGGCTATACAGAGAAGTCAGCAAGCTAAGGTCTTCTATTGCTCCCTGACACTTTCAGGGAAGCATTTAGGAGAAAAGAAACACAGCAAACAAAAACACACAGAAGATTCCGGCTTCTGACAAACGGGATCACAGATGCATTTGTCAATTAAGCAGTGCCCACTCTGAGTCAGATGCTGGACTCCCTCTGCACCCTGGAAATTGGTGCAGGCTGGACTAAAGTTCTACTGTCTAGAAAAAAGAGGGCTGTCTTACTGACAGTGCCTTAAAGGGCCTTGGTGGTACAAGGATGTGGCCTGAAGAGTCCCTGCCCATCTCCTGAGGCAGCACCTCCATCACTTCATCAGTCTTTCAAACAGAAGCAGAGGAGAGCCTTAATTCAGTGAGGGTGCTTTAATATCTTTCTGACAACTGCTAACATGTCTTGATTTGTTTTGCCAAAGAGAGGGCTGGCTTTAGTCTCAGAAACATCAACAAAAAGCAGTCTAGCATTTAATAACTGTTCTGTTTTATTTTTTTTATAGTCAAGATCACCTTTATTTTTATGGCAAATAAATTACAGAAAAAATAAATTTTATATCTACTTTGCTTTTAAAACAAATTAGATTAAAAAAACCCACATCCACTCAGTGCACCAATTTTAAGAAATAAACATTAAGGAAACAATAGTACAGATGGTGAGAAAGTAAGAGCAAGAACAGTGAAAGAATTGTGCAAGTGATTCCCGTTTGGAAAGCATAATGCTCAGGTATTATTTTTATTAGTAGAATATATTTCTAGTCATATATGTCCTTGGGCCATCAACTACAAAATCATCACAAGCAATGCTTATCACTTTTTACCTTGTACTGTGATAATTTTTTCTTTTCCTCTTATTAAGCGTGGTAGATTGAGTTTTCCAAATATGATTTCGTATAAATCCTACCACATATATGCACACACACATGAATTCCTATAGATGTATGTACATGCATGTCTGCTTTTCCTCAATGTGACTGGGGTTCCTTCCACTGATATTTGGGGCTGATGCTCCCTCCCAAACTGTAGCAGGGACGTGACCAACCTGACCACAAGTGCCATGGAGTTGGTGCGCATGACTTTTAACCCTCAGCCCTAAAAGGATGCAGCCTCTGCCTGACTCACTCTCCACCCTCACCACCCTGTGATGAGGCCTGGGCCACAGCCGAGACCACATGCTGGGGCTATGGCCAGTGCCCCTGCTAAGGTCTCAGCTGACAGCCACCACCAAGTATGTGTTTACCAGACACATGAGTAAACATACTTCAGTTGACTCAGCCAGCAGCCTTTGAACCTTAATCTTCCAGTGGAGATCCCCAGTGTCCCAGAATAGACATGGCCACCCTTGCTGTGCTGAGTGAATTTGTCATATAATATGTGAGCATCCTAAATAGCTATCTAATCCCACTGGGTTTGGGAATAACTCGTTTTACAGCCCTAGTAACTAGAACATCCAGTGAGGATGGGAGTGTAAGGGCTGTTATTACTCAGCTCCCAGAGTGTTTGGATTTTAATAGATGCGGTATGCATCTATAGTAAGTGAATGAATGAATGAAATGAAAGTGTTCATGGACACATCTGGCTATTCGATCAGCAGTGACTTTCAAGTACAGCCCTTGTTGCTCTGTCCTGCTGTATGCCCTGCGTATGTGACTCTTAATCAAACGTGTCTGCCTGCCCACCATCCTTCCCCCTGGTGTCCCAGCTGCAGCCACACTCCTAGCCTCTATGTGAAGCCATGTTGACCGTGTTCCCTATTACGATGAGAGGGCCCCACGTATGGAGTATCAATGAATAAATTTATTGGTGTTGTTGATGTGTAGTGTTTTTCTTTTTGCCCATCATCACTTTCTTGCCTTTGCATGATTAGGAGACTCAAATGTTTCATCTTTTAACTAGAAACGTGCTTACACCATGTTCCCTAAGTCAGCACCTCTGCATCTGGTTCTTTCCCGCTCTAGAAATTTCCCTTCAGATTAGCTGAAGGAGATTGTAGCTGACACCTCATTACCCAGAGACTATCACAAGTTTCCTGCAAGTTAAGCGAGTCACATCTCTTGGAAGCTCCTAGACACAGATCACAGAGGCTGTAGGTAGGTAGGGGCAAGGCAGAAGAGCAGAGCTTACACAGCACAGCATCGACTCCTCCCTGGAAGGTCCTACTTGAACTTGATCAGGTCCCAGGAGTGAGGCCCACCTCAGCTGGGCTCCAGGGGAGACTTTCCCAGCTCCAGGCCAGTCTACCAGGCCAGTGTGCCAGCGTGCATATCAAGTTTTCCTTTCACCATCAAGTTGGCGATTCCGAGGCTAATGCTCTTCTTGCAGAAGACACTCTTGCTAGGTAGTGACTTGGTATTACTCCAAGCATTGGAAATGGGCTGTTAGAATCTTGTGAGGCCACAGAGATGCCTCCACATGATCCAGCAAGATGACACACAAGGGGGAAAAAGACTCTTACTGCTCATGGCCACTGTCTCTTTCCATCAGATGGCAACATATGCAGTTTGGCTTCCTTAAGAAATGGTGATCCATTTGCTACATGATAACTTGCTAAGAGCCTTAATGACTCTGGCCCTCTGGCCCCCTGCTCCCACCCTCCTGCTCCCCATGTCGCTCCCCTCTGGACTCTAAGAGTCAACTTTCATTTGTTCTGAATCTCACTTCTATGTACCACTTGGAGCAGCAAGAAGCAGATGTGAAGCCCATGTGCACTGAGCTGATGACTGGTCCACTGATGGGCCAAGGTGCAGGGCCATGGGCACCACTGATGCTCACCCTTCCTTGTACCCAGCAGCACAAGCTCTCCATGGAGACAACTTTGGTTTGTTTTGTGGTCCTGAGAGAGCCAAGGCGGTTTGTTATATCAACCCCTACGCCTTGTGATTCCACACAGAATTCCTGACATTTCCTCCTGAACTGGTCCAGGCCTTGCTGTGACCAAACTGGCAGTGCGTTCCAGGTACCTCTGCCTTCTGTTTTATAGGAAGACCTCATACTATTCCTGCAGAAAAGGTTGTTTGCAAATTACTCTTTTTTTTGCAAGTAGTTTCTATTTAAATGTACTCTTATACAATAATTTCAGCTATGTTTTATAGAAATTTCTGATTTGTGTTTAACTGGAAAGAACTCTTAAGCACTAAGTTCTAAGTTCTCCAAGGTAAACCTGAAACTTTTCTGCTAGGTAACAGAATACTTAAATGCTTTAAAGAAATTTAAAATTAAAAGAACATAAAACAAAAAGACTTTAAAGTTAAATTTTATTTTGTAATTCAATTATCTCTTAACTTATCTGTTTATAATATAAATTCTCTTTTAATTTACTGAGTTTTGGTTTATAAGAGAACACTGCAATTAAAATTTCCCAGTGGTTGAACAAACTCTTAACTAGGTGAGCTGACATGAAGCCCAGTTGGCTGACTGTGAAAAACAGAGAACGTTGAGACCATTTACATCTATTAGCAGTACAAAGTGAGCTTTATGGCCAAATTTCAAAAAGTGGTGAACATATTTTTAGTATCTCATTATAAGCAAGCACGAGCAAGTGCTAAGGATTACCTCTGTCTTTCCTGACTATCTTGTAATGTCCTTTCTTTAGTTCCCAGGCCTCTCTTTTACTGACTTCTATTGTGTCATTACTCAAGATTGCAGAAAGAGAAGGAGGAGTGGAAAGAAAGAGGAGGAGGAAGAAACACAGACATAAAACAAATCATCAAAGTCAACTCTAGCAGCTTTTAATGTTCACGCACCCCAAAAAGTATCTCTAAATATTGGAAAGGATGAGCTAGTTCACAGAATACCTGGCCTCTGGATTAATTAATTTTAAAGTACTTGATAATGCCATTTTTTTGTCATCTTAATCCTTTCATGGTTAGAAAATTTTAAAAAGCCATCTTGTCTATTGTATGAAGTATCCAGAACAGCCTATGAAATTTACTTACTAATGGTCATTCTTGGGTTTGGACCAAAATATCTTATGAGAGGTGAGGCTTCTAAACTTTACGCCTCCCCAAGAGAAGGCATCTCAGTGCCAGAAAGTTTCCAGGTAAAAGTAAACACATTTCCTTTTGGGTGAAAGAAAGAGAAATATGTATTGTGTTTCTTCACCGTCTTCCATCTTTAACCACCACTCCGATATCACTGGCTCTCACCAGGCTTCCCACATTGCAATGCTCATCCCTTCGTATACGTAAGAAGAACCCTTGAGCAGCTGTCATGGGCAAGAAGCTAGGAGGACTTTTCCAAACATATGTGAGGCGTTTTCAGTTTCTTCAGTGTTCCTCACAGGATACTGACTTTAGACTTCTCACTTCCTGACCTTCCTCATAGTGAACTGTAGCATGTTCATATTTCCTTCAAACAGCAGTGTCCTAA